TGGCTAATGAAGGTTTAACCTTTCTTAACCCTTTCCGCAAACCCTTTGCTTTGTTTTTTGTTGTTGCCCTGCTGGAGATCCAACCCAGGGTTTCATGCATTAGGCAAGCTCTCTACCCCTGAGTGTAACCCAGTCTGAAATTTATAGTTACAGCTAAGATCTCTCAAACTCCAAGGTAGGGTGTCCCAACTACATTTGGCTGTTTGTAAATGCATCTTCCCAAATCACTAATACCTCATCCTGTCTCGCAGTGAGTGCGTCCCGCTCCCCATCTGTTATTTCAGTGCTGATACCTCCATCCACAAGGGTCAAGCCACTTTTTTTCAATCTCAGTTCCATCTCGCAAATCAGGGCAGCTGGATGTCTTACCTGGAACACTGTTCTGTTATCGTATCCAGTCCTTCATTGCCACTGTCTCCCTTCCCTCAGATTCTGTTTCCTGGAGTGCATTTTTTAAAGAAAAAAAATTCCATTTTTGCTTAAAAATTTTAACTTTTTTATTGCTGTTAGAATAAATATCTTGATCCTAAGATTAGACACTGAAAGATTGGGGAGGGGAAGGGGTTGCTTGGTAATTCCTTTTTTTTTAGCCTCAGTAATTTCAGAGTTATGCTCTTTTTGTTATAATTCATCAAGCTCTATATGAATGGATCTTGCTTCTTTCTGTATATATGCAAGACTTCCATGAAGAAAAGTTTGTTTAAAAAGAAAGCTATTGTTTTAAAAAAAAAAAACATACACACAAGAGAAAGTAACAGCCAGGTGTAGTGACTCATACCTTTCATTCAAGCTATGCAGTATGAGAGGATCATAGTTCAGGTCAACCAAGTATAAAAATGACCCTATCTAAAAATGACCCAAGCAAAAAAGCCCAGGGGTGTGGCTCAAGAGGTAGAATACTTTTCTGGCAAGCATAAGACCCTGAGTTTAAACCCCAGTACTGGAAAAACAGAAGAAGAAAAGAAAACCATAGGGCAATTATCCTAAAATTTTTTGAATATATGGAAATTTTAATTTAACGAAACTGACTCAGAAGAAATCATTGTCTTAAAGCTCTTAAGACAATGGCTCTGAATTATTCTTTAAAAAATTTTTTCAAGCCAACAAACAAAATCAGGTCCAAATAATTTTCAGATAAGGTCTTATAGACTATCTTACAGAGAATTAAAAAAAAAAAAAAAAAAACACCCTAACTTGTCTGATTGTAGAACAGTACAAAGGAAAGAATATTATGAATGCAGACTTATCACTCCTAAATGAAGTATTATCAAACCAAACCCATCAGTGTATTTTTTAAATCATGGTTTATTTCGATTTCAGGACATAATGTAGTAAGTTTAAGAGAAATGTATGAGAACAATAAAAATTGAGAGTAGCGTGTTTCCCTAGAGAGGAGGGATGTGGGTGTGATTTGAAGCATCAGTTGTAATATACTGTAATGTTTATTTCTGAAGATGAATGCTACATGCTACACTGTAGCATGCTACACTGTATTCTTTTTGCTCTTCTGTATATCTGTATATCTTAAATATTTTACGCAGTAGGGTAAAGTTTGTAGGTTTAATAGCTTTGTGAGTTTAAAATCAAATACTGTATATTTTTTGAAGTTCCTAAAACACACTGTTGGAACTATACAGACTAATGAAAAAAACACGGAATATGATAAAATATGCATCTTTATGGATATTGTGTTAAAGGGTTTGTTAAGTCTTTCACGTTCCTATGAAAATAGGTGCCTTTGAAAAGAAGTGTTTCAGCTTGCCTAACAATTTTTTTCCATTCCCAGAATTAAAAGAAATGGTTTAGAAATCTAGGTATATGAGAAATGTAGTATAGATATGAAACTGAAATGTTAGATTTTATAGCATTCATTCACCAAATAGTAATTGAACATTTACTCTCTACCAAATATGATGTTGAGCTGTAGACATTTATAGATCTTTAAGATGTGGTCCTTAACCTCAAGAAGCTTAGAATTTAGTAGGGGAAATCCATGATACAAGCACGTGTTTGATTATAAGTACCATAATAGCCAAAGGCAGTTTGAAATATTTCTTCCCAAGTGGGAGTTAGTTTCCATCATCTTTTCTATAGCAGTTTAGTTATTTTAATTTAAACAAAATTATACGTGTATGTTTTCAGGAAAAATTTAAGCATTTTGAATTACTGATGTAGACCTTTTTTTACCCACTGGTAACATTATTTAAACTTCAAACTAAAAGAGCTCTGATAAGCCCTTATATGCACTGTTGAAATTGAAATTTGTCAGTTTCAGATTGCCAGTTTTGTTATCCTGTTTAAAAAGTATATAATATGTTTAGCTTTAAGAAGTAAATCTTGCTGAGTATGGTAGTGCATGCATGTAATCCCAGAGCTAAGGAACCTGAAACAGGAGGATTTGCAAATTTGAGCTACATGGCAAGACCTTGTCTCAAAAAAAAAAAAAGAATCTTTGTTAATATCTAGTACTATTCTCTTATTTAATAAGCAAATGGTCTTTCATGTAGGGTGCCCCTTTTTTAAAGTACTACCTTTTCTTATTGTATCTTTGACTGGTAAGTTTTTTACTAGAAACTTTGTTGAAGCAGTAGTATTTTCTGAGCTTGTCAGGTTGCTCATCTGAATAAAATATGAACACTTGAACAATTCAGGATGAACTATCCATTTTTAATTTTGGAATTTGAAATGTAGAAATAATGGTCAATTTTGAATTAATTTCAAGACTTCTTTGTACTCATAAAGATTCGTTTTACCTTCTTTCTTGATTTATTTTTTGTCTTGTTGGTTGTCCTTGTCTTGTCCCTCAGGCAATTCAGTAGTTTAGAGCTAAACTCAGAGGAGTAGAAGTAAATCTGAGTCAATTCGTTTTAACCTGTTTGGTGTTTAAAAAAAAAAAAAAAAAAGCCTGTCATCATGAAGCAGTAAATTGATCTATTTTCTTTATTTAAAGCCACACCTCGTAGGTGTGTAGCTGTTAGGTTTAGGTTGGGCTGCAGACAACAGAGATGCAATGTAAGGGGAATTGATTTTTTTCTCATATACATAACAATTAGGAAGTTCAGGAATGATAAGGAAATTCACAGCATCAGGATCCAGGCTTCTTCTGTCTTGTTGTTCTCCTTCTTATCTCCTTGTCTCTTGATCCCAAAGAGGTACTTGAGCTCCAGCTCTCATTTCCAAACTCTTGGTAGGAAGAGTGAAGGCAGGAAAGTCAAAGGAGTCCTTGCTGGCTTTTTTCCTCTTGCTGAGCAGACATCCCAGAAACCAATATCCATTTCATGTTATGTCTTGACCAGAACGTTGTCATGGTGGCCATTTAGCTGTATATTTTCAGGGAGCCTGAACACTAGTATTTTATTTCCATCACAGTGTACCCATAATGGTCATTATAAAAGAATAGTATGGTGAGCATGTGAGTGAAGCAAATGCTTACTCTATCTCACAATTTTTGCAGGAAAATAGCAGAAAACCTGATGATGTGCAGATGGCTTAATAACTGGTCTATAATGTAATCATGGGAAGTGATGCTAAGAAATCTCTGATCTGCCTGCTGGTTTGGACCTACTTCATCAAATAACTGTTGCCATTTATTTTGTTTTTATTTCATATATCATAATTTTGAGGTATTAGCAATCAAGCCCAAGAGCCTCACACTTTTAGCAAGCTCTCTACCATTGAACTTTGTCCCAACCCTCGTCATACATTATTTTATACAATGCTCACAGCACCACTGTGGGGTAGGCACTATATTGTGTGTTATACACAAGAATAATGAGGCACAGTCCCAGCTGCCATCCCTGACCCCCTCCTTGTATGTAGGAATGGTTTGAGGTTGCTCAAATGTACACAAGAAACAGGAAAACATGGTAAACAGATTTAAAAATATGTAGACATGGAAGAAAAAATAATGAACTTTGTGTACAATTGCTATACAGAATTGAATACCATATGGCCTTGTTACAGGTATTAGAAGTCTTGGTTTGTTCTGTCACTGTGTTTTATCAGAAACCAAAATGTAGAAAAACAAGGGAACTTACTTTGTACTTTTGACATCTTCATTGTTTTGTCATATAATAATTTGAATCTTTATATAGAATACTAGTTTTTTATATAGTGGCTGCAAGGAATCTGAAAGATGATTATAGTGTATTGTTACTATTTGGTGATTTGGCAGAGGGCAGGGTAAGCTAGGCCAAATTGCTTATTTTTTAAAATGTGAAAACCCAAACAACTTTTTGGCAGGGTATGGGTCACACGCTTAACAAAAACTAGGGAGGACTTGCTTGTTTGTATAAATGCTCTTATTGTAGTCTTGAATATATATTGGAAGGTTCTAATCTTGATAAAAAATGGTGGTGTATGGCTGTTTGCTAGAGCTCTCCCCCATACATAAAAGTTTGTGAGCTCCTTGAAAACAAAAGAGTGCTTATTCATTTTTCCCTTTGTATAGAAAGTACTCAATAACTGAGTAATAAATGTCTACTAAACCAGAAGAGTTTTACAATTAAGTTTTGCTTAAAATTTTAAGTAAGTCAGTTACTCTGCCTGCAATAGAGAAAAGTAGATCAACTTTTTCTAGCCCCAGCAAGTTGTATGATGTGTGGTTATAATACCATTAATGGCTGGACATTAGGGCCGCAAAGTCCAGTCCTCAAACAATGGTATATTTAGGGTCTTGCCATGTATGGTACACCAGAACATAGAGGGTTGTAAAGGCAAGTTTCTGGAGAAAAGTCTGGCAAATTCTTGGCATGTAAAGATTATTTATTTTTTTAAGAAATGAAAGTTGTTTCCAAATTTTGAAAGAATGTAATGTGGCATGCTTTTATTTTTAGTGGAGAGAAGGGACATGATTTGATGCTTACAACATTTGAAAAATGATAATATTTTGAATAAAATAAAACTAAATTTAAAATAATATTTTATTTTCAGGATTATTTGTGAAAAGTAAATTAGCAGAACATTTAAGTTTATTAACTTTGTTTTGTTTTGTTTCTCAGGATGTGATCTTCGTGGTGGGAAACTAAGTTTTAAACTACCCCAATGGATGCAGACAGTGATGTTGCATTGGACATTCTAATTACAAATGTAGTCTGTGTTTTTAGAACAAGATGCCATTTGAACTTAAGGAAGATTGCTTTGGAGGGAGCAAATGTAATTTATAAGCGTGATGTTGGAGTAAGTATATGAATTTTGGTATGGGTCCTACATAGCCTACTTTTATAGTGCAATGAATAATGCTGTAATATATTAATTCTGTAGATAACTTATGATGACCTTATCATACGCTAATTGTATTTGATACAGCAGGGGCCCTGTATAAGTGGCACCTCTTCTTATGGAGGTGACAAATTTTGGAGAAAAATCTATTTTTGAGTCTTAACAAAAAGCTCATTGGTTACAGAGACATGTTTTTGTTCTTTCATCTTAGAACCAAAGAAAGGAACCTTTATACTTTATTTGTATTTATTAAAATGCCCTACTATCCTAATTTCTATAGGATATTGTCATCATTCTCTCTAGTTAGACAAGCAAGATTTTTTTCCCATCACATATTGCTAAAAGGACAACTGGACATTGTAAATTTTAGTATGTATCAAACTTACTATATTTACAATAAAAGTCTTAGTATTAATAAGTAATAATAAAACATTAATTTTTTGAGATTAACACTGAAATGGGAGTCAGTGTTTTCTTGGATTTTATAAACTAAAGACCCATGAGACAAATATGTATTTTACACACTTATTATAGAAATTAGGAATGCATTAGAGGTTCTCTTTAAGTTTTAAGAATTAAATGTCAGTGTATCTAGGTAAAGTATTGTTAGTTCTTACTACTAGAAACTTAAGTTAGAATGAATTAAATTCCATTGAGATTTTCAGGGATCCACAAAAAAGATTTTTAAATTAATTAGTAATACCATCTTCCCTTAAAAATAAATATATTTGCTAAAAAGTTTAGTAAGGAAAATACTTTGTTAGTTTAGCAATACAACGGAAATGAAGTAGATTTTTTTCTGGGAAGGTTGACTGAAAATTTTAAGTTGAGCCAGGTTGTGATGGCACATACCTATAATCCCAGCACTAAGGCAGGACGATTGTGAATTTGAGACATGAAACCCTATCTCAAAAAAAAACTAAACTAAACAAAAAAACCTAAATTGATGGGCAAGCTGGTGATGGGAGACAATTAAATGCAGAATAAATTCACTCAAGAATTTCAGTCACTTGTGTATGAAACTTTATGATGTATCTTAATTGAAATGTCATCTTGATGTTTGACAAATTTTTAAGTCTCCTCAGATTTAATAGTGTATATGACATTATTACCAAGAAGAGGAAGAACTCAGACTATATTAAAAATTTTAAGAAGAAATATCCAATTCATTTATGTTTTATTTTATCCAATAAGCATGTCTCTTTTTAACACATAATTAGTATGTAATAAATATTTCTGTAAATGAAAAGTTGCACTGAGAATTTAAGTTCACATATTATCCTGTAGCTTAGTCTTTGACCTGTTTATTCTCACTCTATAGGTAATTTCATCCCAACCCATAGCTTTAAATGCCTTTCGTGACCTGAGTGCGGTGGTACGTGCCTATTGGAAGGCTGAACCTGGAAGGTCATGAGTTTGAGGCTAACCTGGGCCTCATCTCAAACGATAATTTTTTTTTTAAGTGCCTTTTGTGTCTATAGAATCTCTAATAATATCTCCAGCTCCAGCATATCTCCCACACCTGAGTTTTTTATGTGGAACTTGGAGGTGTCTCACGTAAGATATAGTATGGTGTAGTGATAGGCGACATGAAGCAGAGTAAAGCAAAACTGGGAAGTAAAGAATGATGAAGAGATGGGATGGGTGTTTTTATGGAGTGGTTAAGGAAGGCTTCTCCATGGAGGTGATGGCTGGTAAGAAACATGAATCAAATAAGAATAGTCATGAGAGAGTATTCCAGATAAAAGTAACAGCTATTAAGAAACTCCTCGTGTATAAATTTGGCATGTATTAGGATCCATATAAACTCTAGTGATGTGACTGGAGTAGAACGAGAGCTGAAATGTTTATGAACTTGTGGTTTGTTGATTCAATGTGTGTAGTGATAATTTATGGAGACCTTGTATTTTAATTAATTAAAAGCTTATTGAGAGCATGGTGTGGTGGTACATGCGTATAATCCCAGCACTTGGAAGGCTGAAGCAGTAGGATCATGAGTTTGAGAGTACACAGTGACACGTTGTCTGAGAGGGACGGAGACAGAAAGAAAGAAAATAAAAAGTCCTTTGGAATCAGTCATGTTCCTTACGTTCAGTATTGAACTTAATTTCAGAATGGGTGATTTGAAGAAGAGTTATTTGGATAAACTTGGGGTAGTATTTGGACATTGACATAGTCACGTAGAACAGAAACATATGTGAACATTAATGCTTATTAGGAAATGATTTTTTTTTTCCAGAAAGTATTAATGAAGCTTAGAAAACCTAGAATTACAGCTACAATTTGGTCCTCAGGAAAAATTATTTGCACTGGAGCAACAAGGTAAATGTTACTTGTTGTTTTTATTTTCTACTTTTGTCCTATGGAAAGGATATTTTTCTAGACTTACAAGCAAAATCATATGTAAAGCTTGTGTTCCTCAGTATAAAGTTTATTTCCTGTGTAACTGCTAATCTTTGTTTTCCCCTTAAAACATAGTGAAGAAGAAGCTAAATTTGGTGCCAGACGTTTAGCCCGCAGTCTGCAGAAACTAGGCTTTCAGGTAATATTTTAAAATATATATCCATACTGTAATTGTTCAAGGGTTCAGTTTTGTAAAATTAAGTTTTTAATTTAGTAAACTAAACAAATTGCAGAAATTCTTAAATTCAACTTTTTCTAGATTTTTATACTGCCCTATAAGTGTGACATTTTAGTAGTAAAACGTAGGAATATGGGCATATTTGTAAAAGATCCTGGCTTCTCCCCATATTTATTTCCCATCAAGAGATGTGTTAATTTCAACTTAAGTGTTTTTAACTCTCACACACAAAAAGAGAAAAATAATTTTTGATCATGTCAAGAATGCCACATCAGGACTGGGGTTGTGGCTCAAGTGATAAGAGTGCCTGCCTAGCAAATATAAGTCTTTGAGTTCAAACCTCCCTATCACAAAACAGCAACAACAAGAACAAAAAGAATGCCAGGTCAGGATTTGCAGAGCTCTACTGACATGGACATACTAGGTGGTAGTGGCAGTAGGGTGTAAAGTTGACAATTACTGGCATATCAGTCTTTTCAACTATTTTATACAGGCACAGCTTTGAATAAAATTATCGTTTACGATGGACTTGCTAAGTCACTTGCAAACGAGTAAGTGAAAGGTGCGACATGGTTCTTGAAGAGTTGGGCCAGGCTGTTTGGGATTTGGCTAGGTTTGTAGAAACAATAGTGGGAAGTTAAGTTTCTCTCTGGTGACTTCAGTCTCTCAAGTAGAAGGAACTGGACTGCTGGTGGAGAATGGGGGCTGTTAGCTCATGGGGAGTGGCAGAGTGAGTCTTGAGACGTAGTCATGAAGTGATGGTGGTGCCGTTTGGCTCTTTTCTGGCTTTTTACTGCTCTGTGCAAGTACTGAGTTACAGGAAGATCAGCTTATCCAGGCTTGAAGTTTTAGAAGGAATGTCGGAAAAGATAATGAGATGAAATAATTCTGATGTTGATAGGAGTGGCTAAAGTTACTAAGAGAACATTTTCAGCCTTAGAGGTCCATTTCTTAGCATAACAGGAGAAGTGTTGAGAAAGCCCAATTAGCTAAAAAACAGTTTCACTCTATCACCAAAAAGGAAAATAAGCATCTAACTGAACTCACAGAAATACCTTTTTATCCTGTTAATTATAAGAAAAGCATATCACCTTTGGAGCCCAGTGTATTCTCTTTATTTCTTGACCCTTTGGGGGGTTGGTGGTACTGGATCCTTTTTGAACTCCAGGCTTTTGCACTTGGTAGGTAAGCACTCTACCATTTGAACCATGCCTTCACCCTGTTTATGTCTTTTTAAAAAGTGACTTTTCAATTTTGAGTCATTAGAAGGGAGACCCTGATTTGATATCTTTCCCTTTACTCTTGCTCTTTTCTCAGTAGTTTTAAATATCCCATTTAAAATATTAAAAGTAATCTGTAGGTAAGATTTAAGACCCCTTGATGAAGAGTTTTATATATGCAAATATGTCATATTTTACTATTTTTAATGAAGTTTTTGAGCTTTTTTTCTTTCAGTGAATTACAGCTTTTGATACTAAAGAACTTAGAACACTAGATCTGTGCATAAGATAATTTGTTTTTCCTTAATATAAGGAAAAACAGGATTGCCATGATGAGCAGATTTTTTTTTGTTTCAAAATAATTCATTGAGTTTTACTTCTCTCCCAAAGGTAATTTTTACAGATTTTAAAGTTGTTAACGTTTTGGCAGTTTGTAACATGCCTTTTGAAATTCGCTTGCCAGAATTCACAAAGAACAATAGACCTCATGCCAGGTAAGTCTTTGAAGAATCAAGGTAACTTACCAAATTTGAAATTGCCAGTCAGACTATAAATACTTAGATGAATTTTGATATTTTTCATATAGTTATGAACCTGAGCTTCATCCTGCTGTGTGCTATCGGATAAAGTCTCTAAGAGCTACATTACAGATTTTTTCAACAGGAAGTATCACAGTAACAGGTAATCTATGAACTTGAAGCAAACTTGACAATTACATACTGTACTATTTTGTGTCTGTCCATACTCACTGAGCTTCATATAGTTGTGTATATAGATCCTTCTCATTGCTGGGTAGTATCCAGCATGTGAATGTACTCTCCATAGATACTTGAGTAGTTTTCAGTTTGGAACTATTAAGACTATTCTAGTATAATCTTCATAGTATGAATGTTTTAATTTATGATACATTGCATTTAAAATTCCCAAGAGAACCCTGTTTTATGACCTTCACAAATTTTTACGTAAACAAAATATTCAAATATAATTGGTACCTATTTGTTATGCTACATGTGTGTTTCTTTGTGTCTTTGGAATTTTTAATTGTTTGGAAGGGGTGTTTCAGAAAGCTGGGCATGCATGTCAAAGGGCAGCGTTAGCATGCAGGATGCTTCTTAAATGTGATTATTAATTGTGCAAAGGTATTGTTTGGGAGTTAGGTCCTACACTGGGCAAAACTGAGTTAAGGAAATTTTTTTGGTCTTCTTGAATTTTGCTTTTTATTCCTTCATTCTTAGAGAATAAAAATCCACACCTTATGGCTGTCAAATAAGCTTTGGTTTTGACTCATCTTATAGGTTTTCTTACCTTCCTTGGGAACTTCAAAGCCAATTACCAGGATCCCACCTGAATCTTAAAAATGGGCTGAAGGGAATAGGTCTGTTTGTTCTCTTCTTTAAGCTATCTATTTCTATACTTACTGACCCTGGACTTCTGAGAGGCTGCAAAATCTATTGATAAATCCCTGCTAAGTACAGAATCAAACAAATGTAAAAATCTTTATTTACTGAGTTAACAGACAATTAAACACAGTAACAAACTAAAGACAGATGACCTGGTTAATTACTATGCCTTGTACACTTATATCTGCTGGAATATCCTATGAAATGTTACCAATTCAGCTGAGTGGTTAGCTCATCCATTGGAGGATGGAGGTAAGGTGAGTTAGAGAGGAAGGCCCAAGATAGGACATGGTCAACGTGTTTAGTACTTTTAAAGTTCACAGTGAGGAAGGTTTCATGTTTTTCCACCGAGCAAGTGTGCATTAGTGAAACCTTTCTCTCTCTCTCTGTGTGTGTGTGTGTGTGTGCGCGCGTGTGTGTGTGTGCGCGCGCTCGCTGCTAAAGATCAAACCCAGGGCCTTGCGAATGCTAGGCAAGTGTTCTACCATTGATCTCTGTCCCCAGCTATGAAACTATTTTTATTCAAAATTTTGTGGAAGTGTGTTTCTTAGTGTGACTTGGATAAGCTCTCAGGTTAAATGACCAGATTAGTAATAAACAAGTAGTAATAGATCTGTGTGGAGTTTCAGACCATATAGCATAAAGCAGCCAACATTGTGGTAACAGCTCTGTTTCACACCCCTGGGTTCCTCCATACTTCTGTGGTTTTCATTGTTCATTCAGAAGTCAGTGACCAAAAGGATAGTGGGGGTCAAGTCCCATTTGTTATTCTTTCCTGTGCATGTTATAGGACTTTTTTCTCCATGATAGTATAATTTTTTATACTCTCTTTTCATACCTGTACCTAAAACAAAAAGATTATCATTTTGTGTTTCAGATTTCCTTTATTGTCCGGAAAAGGTTTCTGTTCTCTTGGTTCTTATTATGATTATGTATGACTGTGTAAGAGTAGTTTTGTTTTTTAAACAATGAACTTGATATCCTGAGCCAGGTAAATATTTTTAACTCTGGAAGTCAAGCTTTTCATACTATTCTCCTCCCACTCTCCTCACCCTTCCTCCCTTGTGTTTGTTACAGGGCCCAATGTAAAGGCTGTGGCTACTGCTGTGGAACAGATTTACCCATTTGTGTTTGAAAGCAGGAAAGAAATTTTATAACTCATCACTTAATTGGTTAGAATCTCTAACTGAGCACCTTTTAAAACCTGCTGCACATTGGACTCAAAGCAAAAGGAAAACTGGACCAACAGTAATTGAGGAAATAGACTCTCTTATTCACTCACAGCTACAGTGTAAGCTCCAGTCCCTTTGGATTTTATTTCAAACTTTGCTGTAATATAAAAGGAAGTTTACATGACATGACATTGCTGCTTTTACAAAAGGACATTCTATTTATTTTCGCAGTAATTCTCATGTCCCCATAAGCAGAGCTGTCACAATGTGCACTACCTTAAATTGTTTTATTGTTGTCATTATTTTTTTCCAGTTTGAGCTAATGTGTTTTATTTGTGAATAGTCTTTTACATTTTTGTATGCTGAATATGGGCACCAAAGAACCTGTAAAAGTTACCTTTTTCAATTGAATGTGCACAAATAAAAGTTTGGAAAAGATCTCTCTTCATATCCATTCTGTAACTTTTATTCCCCATTTTCTATTTTCATAAAAATTGTATTCGTAATTCTTTTTCTTTTTAACCTATGCAAGTTTAGACTCTGGCTGAAGTGTGTTGGCTTTTTGAGGTTGATTTTATATATATGTATATGCTATATGTGTGTGGTGTCTTTTCATGCTCTGTTACCAAATATCAAATAGGATTTTTTTTTTTATATTTTGCAGATTAGAAGTAAAAATATGTATATAAACTCTAGGGAATTGGAGTAGAACTTTATAAAAGATTTTTATGTTGCAAATTTAATACAATAGAAAATGTTAAATAGCTTTTAAAGGTAAAGAAATTGTAGTTTTAAAAAGACAAACCTCTTACCCACCAGTTGGACATGAGAAAGAAGCTGTAATGGGTTGTACCTTGTGTACTTTTGTGTTCTGGAAAGACTCAGTTGTAGTCGTAGGGATGTGATTGAGGTTCTTGACTTACTCATCTTAGGTTTCTCAAGGCTCTACTAGGAGTCTTGTCTGAAGTTGATAACATTGTTCTGTTTTAACAAGAAGTGCCCACAAGCTGCCTCTGTGCCACAGTAGTTCCTTGAAAGCCATTTTGCAAGTTTTGTCTTTCCCTTTGCTGTGTCTTATTTAATTTAGCTAAAGAGTGACTTCAATATATAAGATTGATACTCTTAGTTTGAATAAATACACATTTGTGAAACAGGGTCGTGGCTCACACATGGCCCTGAAATGGTAACGCAGGATCAGTTGTGCTCCACTGCTTAAGTTTAGAGGTATACTGCAACCAACACTGACTTTACCTAGAAATGAGCTGGGTAAAGAGTCAAAGAAGCTTCTCAGTAGAAACTGAATAGAGAGAGTTTTTCAACACACTCTCCCACAAATACTGCGTTTACCTACATATTTTGAAATGTTCGTAAAAACTTGCAACACCTGAACCTCCATGTTTAGTACATTTTCTGTACCATATTATAAAATCTTGAAAACCTACCTTAAGCACTGAACAGTATATATTATGTTTATTTTTGTTTTCTTTTTTCTTAAAGCCTTCCCCTGCCCCTGCCTCTCCTTCCCTCAAAAGTAGGGGCAAAGGTTAACTTTTTATACTTTTTCTCATGTAAGATTTAAGTGTGATTTTTTTAAGCCTTAATTCTTTTTTTTACATTTGTTTGTTTCATTTTAAGATCAGTAGGATAGCTTAACTCCTACATACAGAGAATAAAATAAGATGAAAAAGTTACAAGCAGGCTGTTTTTCAAGGTTTAAAATTTTCTCACTTATTTTTAATTAACAGTATAAGTCAACTCATTTTGAAGTACTCACACAAATTAAAAAAAAAAAAACATAGAAAGGGGGGAGAAAACATAATTGTATAGCCAGGGTGCAGATCCAGATGCACAAACACTTTCGGTGTTTGGATGACTTGAAAACCAGGCAAACTGGAACTTTTGGAAATGCTTTATCTGGGAGGGGAGGCAAGATTGCCTGATGGGATCAGGATTCAGGACTGTTGAGTAATCGCCGCCTGGTAGTGTCTGTGGATAGTCCACTGAACATAACCAGTCTGGGAAGAAGTGAGTGTGTCTGATGTCTTCTGGTTTTCCACAAGTACTGTAAATTTTTTTAATAAATAAAAGCTGTGAATATATACATACAAATTGTAAGTATTCCCCCTTTTTATTTTTGAAAACCAAAAAGCTTCATTTGGTGGGGCTGGGAGTGGGGACAAGTATTGGATAAAATTATTTTGAAGACAAAATTGTTTAGTTGTAGACTCAGGATGATAAAAGAAAAATACGAGAGAATGTTTAAGATTCTGAAGTTAAATGTTATTAGTAATAAACCAGCTTAGTTATTTTCCTGGCCATTTATAATGAACAGCCAAACCAAGAAATAGCTAAAATGTATGTAGTGGTTGAACTTGAATTGTGTAACAGGTTTTAAAAATATCTTAAAATCTGGGATGCTTGGCAAAAAAAAAAAAAAAGTTATTTTGATAACCTGTCTTGATATTTTAAAAATCTTGGCATATTATTCCAGCAAAGTTTCATGATGAATTAACATTGATCCTCTGCAGAACTTTTCCCTCCTCTTGCCAAAACAAACAAAAAACACTGCATGCTCTAACTTGAATATGAAATGTAACATGACAGAATCAAGACCTCAGATCTCCTTTCCTTGTAGCTTCTTCCTGCCAACTTTAATTTAGATAGCACATTTCAGAACCAGGACTTCACCACGTTCCTGAGTCTCACATGTCAGCATTTTACTGTTGCTTACATGGGTCTTTCCACCCTCTATCAAACTAGAACAGTAGGGGTCAGTAGGAAAATTTCCTGGCCAAATAACTTAAGGCTCTTAGGAGTCTCTTCAAGTGTCATATTTTTTAAGTAATTTTTTTTCAAGTTAAGTTGTTCATTCTTTAGGTTTTCTCTGTGTCTTGCATAACTTATACTAGTGATCTAATAAGTGACTACTTTAAGTGATTGAAGATTCTTTATTTTGGATTTTATATCATATCCAAATTCTGTTGGTAAAATGCCTTATCAGATCTTAGAATTCAACTGAAGAAATACAGGACAGAGCAATTCATCATGTTGGGAAAACCCCAAGATGGTATGGTTGGCCCATCTCTTTTTTATCACAGAGAAAAACATAGGAAATTATCCTGATGTCTGAACGTCATGTATTAAGTCTGCATTCATTTGAAAGTCAACATCGATTATAGCCTGTGTGCCATAACCTGAGGTAGAGAGATTCCTGAGGAGTCAGAGGAATTGCAGGAAACTGTAAGCTATCACGGAAGCGTTCCAAGAAGAGCATTTTTATAGGTATGACTTAATTACTTAAACCTAATTGCTTAGAAATTTGGATAAATAATCTAATGGCCTGATTCATTTTCTGATGTTTTTCTAACAGCTACTTCTAAATAAATATGGTCTCCAGATTTTAAATTGTCCTTTGTAATCATTTCTTAAAAAGATGAAAAACGCTTATTTTTCTCAAGTATTACAAAATTGTTTAATACCATGAAATTCATAATAATATAGTTTGCATTAAATTATGCTTCATAATTCATAAAATAAGCTGCACAATCTTTGACTTGTGGACTAAAAATTATTACTAAAATCCTAACCACAACCCTATCCTAATTTAGAACATATGTGCAATTGTCCGCATGTGTGTCCTGGTTCTTTTCTGGACAAGACCCAGTGCAAGTAGTGTTTTAGTAGGCAAAACTGTAAGCGCCTCTCCAGAACGCTTATGTGTCTGAATAATAAAGCTGGGGCTGGTCTCCATGTACACCTAAGCTTAAGGGGGTTGATCTCATCACTAAGACATCAAAGGCTGCTCTTTGAAAAAGAAAGTATTGAGCTAGCTACTATTGTAGATTTTTTGTTTGTGTTTTAAACCTGATATTGTGCTTAGAATAAGAAAAAGATTGCTTAGGATCTTGTACCTCATCTATCCTGAGGTTCCAGGAAGAGGAATTAAAGGCTGTATTTATAACTTCAGGGTGTCCCTTTAAATAATAATGAAGAGAAAGTGGAAGTGGCCAATGTGCACTAGTACAAAGACACCCTGTAAGTGTTCTTATACTGTAATCCACATTCATTAGGACTTGAGGACATTAGGTTTCTGAGGAAAGCTGCCTCAGTTGTTCCTTTCTACACAGCTTTGTGCATTCCAGGAGCTGCTGCTCCTGGGGCTTTCCTTTTTGAAGCTGTGTTGGCACTAATTCTTCTTGGTGATGACTCATAAAACAAATGTTTTTCACATAGTTCCTGAAAGAGAAAGAGACAGGAGTGAAAATGTCATTCTTTGCTTACAGTACTTGAGAAAAATGTGCAGACTATTATTTTTTAAAATCACCCAGGGCTTTTAATGTTTTAGCTTTGCAAAAACATTTTTATTGTGAGGCCTTGCTATATCGTGAAATTCAGTGTATATCATGACCTTTGGCATGCAAATGGTCAGATGGGGTGTCTTAACACAGCCACAGCACCCCTCCCTGCAGGCCGGGACCCCAAAGGTAGTTTTAGAACTGGTGGATGTTCATCCCAAATCCTGTTTCATTTTCTTCCTTTTTTCTAACTACCACTCTGCCTATATTTATATATTTGCATTATCCCCCTCACTGCTGCATTAATACATTCATTTCTGCAGGTTTATACTATCGGCATAAAAATATGCTATAATATGTTATCTTATTTAAAAATTAGAGGGGGGTGCCTTAGAACCTCCTTTTTCAAATCTTTTTCTGTAATTTAACCCAGGAATCAAGTGGTTGTGCCATGGTAAGTGGAATGGATGGAGTAGATACATTTCTGCTTTCAAGGAGCTTGTGTTTTCATAAGGGAGGCAATCATACTAAATTTAAAGTAAAAGTGCTGGGGAGAAAAGTAAATGGAAAAAGAATGACTTAGGGGAAGGGATTATATCACATAGGTGGCATCTCTAAAGAGGTGACATTTGATGGGAAACGAATTCCAGAGAACTGAAAATTGAGGCAGAGGAATAGGTTGGTACTTGGAATTTGAAGTCTAGAAAAGCGTTTTACGATGGGAAATACTGCAGCTTTGTGTGTTATAATCCTATAGAAGGGGGGTGTTGGTGGCACCATCAGTACTAATGAAGCATTGGTCTTTGCACCAAGGCATAGTATGCGGTCATAGATAGATGTGGATGTGTGTAGGTTAGATCTCATGGCAAGAGGGTGGCCTCTCTATTTCTGTTCTCTTGGTGAGCTAAAAAAGTCACCAATAGAAAGTGGGAAGTGGTGGCAGAGGCTTGAGGACAGAGTGTAGATGTGAAGTAATCTTGCAAAGGAAGAAAGTCAGCTTGCCAGGGGACTGCAGTAGATTGCAGAGCATCCATAAAGACTTAGTTGAGATTTATGGTCATAAATTTAAAGCAAGACTGGTCAACGTAGTGAATGCATTGTTCAGCCATGTTTACCTTCTCAGATACAGGGATAAAATTAAAAGTTAACTAATCAGAATTAAGTTTTGCCTGAATGATGGAGAGAGATGGTGCAGGGAAGAAGAGGGTATATGTAAAGGATTAGCTAGGATAAGAAAGAAAGTGAGAAAATGCATGCCAGGTCCTTGAGGGATTGAAGACTTGTCAACCTACTTGAGAAAGTAAGTTGTAGAGAAAAGTAGTCTGAGGGTAAGGGATTCTTGTAAATAGAGCAGTGATTGGTAACGACAATTCATCTGTTGCTCCCCTTCACAGCAAAATCATTGCAGGGAGTGGACTATAGCTGATGTCTTCGCCTCAAGTCCCCTCAGTTAGCTTCTGTCCTCACTCCACTGAGACTGCCTGACAAGCTTGTGATTACCTATTTGTACTGGCCCTCACCTCACTGTACCTCATCTATTATGCTGTTTGTTCTCCTGGCTTTTCTCCAGTCTCGCCATTGGTTCTTTTATGATATTTCCTTTCCTCTGCTTGATCTCTAGATGTTGACTTAATCTTGGTCAGGTGGGCAGGGCTTGGTCTAACCTTGGGCCTCATTTTCTTTTCTCTGCTTCTGACTGGGTGATCCATCTGGTTTCCTGACTTAAAAACCACTTGCAAGCCAATGGTCCGCACATTCAACTCTAACGCAAAGGGTCTCCAGAATTTCAGATTTACTGTATGTATCCATCTGCGTACTAATAATGTCTCTACCTGATGTCTGCTAGGCATCTCCAAATTAATATATCCAAAACAGAACTGTCATCTCCTATATCCTGAAGTGCAGGCCTCCTCCAGGCTTCCCCCATCCCACTGCCCATCTGGCTTCTCAAACCAAAACTTTAGGCATCATCCTGACTACTCTGTTGCCTCACTCCTGGATCCAGATCATTTATTCATTCCTTCAATGATGAGCTTCAATTATATGCCAAGGGATTTTCCATGTGCTGAGATACAGCAGTGAACAAAATTACAAAATTCCCGCCCTCGAGGAGTTTAAATATAACAAAAAGACAGTCAAAAGACCAAGTAAAAGAGTGTTTCACTTTTAGTTAAAACTGAAGTAGGAAAGTAGATGTAGAGTTGCGGACATGATAGTGATTTTAAACAGGGTGATAGGAAAAGGGAAGATGAAGCAGCTAGGTATCTAGGGGATGTCTAGGGAAAGGACAGAGAAAACAAGGGTGAAGATTCTGAGTCTTAAGCAGCATACCTGAGTGAGTTTGGGATATATCAAAAAGGCCAGTGTGGCCATGGGTAAAAGACCAAGAGGGGAGGAGGAGGCAGAGGTCTTTAAAGCCGTCAGGAGGCTTTTACTCTAGATGGAGAGCCCCTAGAGGATTGGAGCAAAGGATGACCTGGTCATCTTTAAAGGGACCCCTAATTACTGTGTAGAGAATAGACTGGAGGGGGAAGATGAAGGAAATGGGAACCAGGTAGGTGGCCACCATGGTAATACAGAAAGGAGTTCATGGTGACTCAGGTATGAAGGTGGTAGCCGTAGATGCATTCTGAAGTAAAAGCCAACGCAGCCTTCTGATTAGATTGAATAAGGAGTGTGAGGGAAAGAGATTCAGAGAAGACTCCAGGGTTTGTGGCTACAGCAAGAAGGAGTAAAATGGTGTCCAGTGAGTAGAGAGAGATGGAGGCATGGACATCATGAGTTCAGTTTAGGACATGCTAGGCTTAGGTTATCTGTTAGACATTTGAAAACAGATGTACATAAGAGATGAACAGACAAGCCTCAAATTCCGAAGCAAGATCTAAGCTAGAGATGCAAATTTTAGTTATTGGAATTGAGATGGTACAAAAGCCATGACATTGGCTGAGGTCAATGAGCCAGTGAGTGTGATAGATAGACCCCTGCGATTAGCCATGTGTTAAGAGCCATTTCAGAGCAGTGATGGTTATAAAAGTCTTATTGGAACATGTTCATGAGAAAATGGAGCAGAATTGAAAATAGCAGCAACTCTTTAGAAGAGCTTGGATGTAGTAGAGATACCAAGCAAAGATTGGGAAGAAAAATGGCACCATTTTCATTTCCATGGGGAAAGAATTATGCAAGTTTCTATGCTGATGAGAGGTAGTGATAAAAATATGACTGGCTAAGGCATGATCAGGGAAAACGAGTGTGCTGGAGAAGGGCAGATGCTTCAAGGGGTTGCCCTTGAATGACAGAGTTGATACTTAGGACCTGGACAGTAGTGTAGGTAGCTACAAATCGTGACATGTAGACTGACATGGTAGGTGGTAGAAGTTCCCTTCTGATTATTTCTGCTTACTTAGTGAGGTCAGAGCAAGGACACTGGTAGAAAGTAAGGAGGTCAGGAGGTTCCCCAAGAGAGAAGGTGCCATTGGGCAGTTGTCTAGGACAGAGGCAGATTGAATGAACTAGGGACTTAGGTCATTGCCATACAGCATTGAGGTGTGTGCTTCCTCAGCCTCATTCAACTTTGTGGCTGCCAATGGTCACTTGGATGTGCCTTAAAATGACCACATCATGCTGTTGTCCTACATAAAATCCATCAGTAGCTCCAACTGCAGGTAGAATGAAACTCCAGTGCCTCACTCAGCACACAAAACCTACACACTGGTCTCTCCCTACTTTCTAACTTAATCTCAGCATCTGAGACCTGCACTTGGTTCCCTTCCTGAAACAAGTCAAGCCTGTTTCTGAGTTAGCCTTTACCCTGGCTGTTCTCTGCTTGAATTGAACCCTCTTTCCCAGTAGGCTCTTTATAATCACCCAGATTTCATTTTAAAGGTTAAGATGATAATCTTCTTGGGTTACCCAATCAAAAGTAGCCCTCCCCCCCGCCCCCACACACACATTTTATTCTAGTGGTTTTTCTAGCTGATAAAGTGGTGCTAAACACCCAGATCAGTGCCTGGCATGTAACTAGGTATGCTGATTAAGTATTTAGTTGCACTGTGTTAGCCTGCAGGAAGGGCCACATCAAATTAACTACTAAAAGTAAAAAATAATTTATAAAACTTTGACTTGTTTTATTTTCTTAAATAAATTCACTTAAATTCACTTAAATTGGGGAAAAGAGTAAATAAAGTCACAGTTGAAAAAGCAAAAATAGCAAACTTCCCATTTTAAGTTTGTAGCTGGCAGAGCAGATATTCCAAATAAAATCCTTTCAAATTATATTACTACAGATATCTTTTCTGACCTCTTAGCTGAGTCACTGTTTATTTCATAAGGAACTTGACATCTTGGAAGAATATTTGTTTTCTCAGCTTTGTAAAACTAGGAGTAAAAGAACCTAACTCCAAATTTGAGAGAGGAAAATCTTAAGCAATGTGTGGTATTAAATTTGAAGTTAATTTGATATTATAAATAGTTTCCTTTCTTACTCCTTAGAAAAACTCATTGGGATTTATACATCAGGATTGGTTTCCCTGGTGACAAAAGTTGATTCATTGTTTTATTAACTTCTAAATTCCTAAGGACTCCCTTAGCTCAGCAGTGACCTCAGTCCAGTTCATGTCAGCCTCCACGTAAGAGCAAATTCCTTGGACTTTTCAACACCCCACATTTCCTTAACTAATTTGATATTAGTTATATTAGTAGTATTTGCCAATACCACTATTTTGGGGTTTGGGGTGGGGAGAGTTGTTTGTTTTTGTCTCTGACATTACTCTCCAGGGAACTTTGTTTAACATATGCGTCATACATAATTTGGTCAGTTTACATAATTCAAACTGCTTACATTTTCATTTTAAAAGCTTTTGTCAGGTGCCATGATTCATACCTACAATCCTAGAGGATCATGGTTCAAGACCAACTTAGGCAAAAAGTTCATGGGACCCCCAT